GATAATCTTTCGTATTTGTTCTATTAACGCTATCTTACGTTTAATATGATCGTTTTCCTCGCTAATCCTTTAAATATTTCGTCTCATTTAATAAATAGGAACTACATAAATATATTGGTCCACTCATAAAAAAATAACGAAAATATTTTGGGAGAAATAATTTTCGTAGTTTAGCATTCTTTAGATCTTCCGTTCGTCACGCCATATATCAGAATCGAAAATTATTGATTTGTTATCGATTTAGAAACAGGGTCCTTTTTATAATATCGATACCTGATTTTTATAGAGTTATTTTTGTTTGAAAATCCTAGTAATCTTCTTTCATGTGTCATGTCTTTTCAGGGCGTGGCTGATCACGTCTCTGGCTCTCCACAACATTCTATCATTTGTTAGTGTCATATAGGAATAGGGTGTCGCTAACGACAATGGAGATTGAACACAGCTCACCAAACAAATACAGGCGATCCCATTTTGAATAAATAGATCACGTGATGATAAAGGAAATGTATATATGGGAATCAGTGCGGCGTCTAAGTGATCACTCACCGAATTACTTCGGAGGTGCGCTTGTCGAACTCTCTACCTCTGGGCAGAAAGGAACCCAGACAAGGCTATGCCAAAGGACAGAGTCTCGTCTGGGGTGATAGTCAGCTACCCGGCCCTATTTCACACGGGGTCTACGGGGAATTTTTGCCCGAGTCTACGGGCTCGGATATCCCACAATAAACTCGGCCTTGTTCCACATCCGTCCGCGTTGGGCGGTAGTTGAATTGTGCTTGTCAAACTCTCTGCCTCTGTGTAGAGAGGAACCCAGACAAGACTATGCCAAAGGACAGAGTCTGGTCTGGGGTGGTAGACAGCTACCCGACACCGTTTTTATGAGGTCTCTGGGTAATTTTTGCCTGAGCCAACGGTCTCAGATACCTCACAATAAACTGTGGCGTTTGCTGCATCCGACCGCGTGGGGAGGTTAGTGGATATCATCACTATCCGGATTACTTCGGAAGTGTGCTTGTCAAACTCTATGCCTACGGGCAGAGAGTATTCCCAGACGAGGTTATGTCAAAGGGAAGAGTCTCGTTATGGGTGGTAGACAGCTACCCGACTCTGTTTTTACGGTGTCTACGCGGAATTATTGATCGAGTCTACGGATCGGAAACCCCACTGTAAACTTAGCCTTGTGAATATCTCACGATACCGAATCCTATTCGGTGGTTACTTTTCGAGCGAGTATTATCGAGCAAGTACTATCAGTGCGAGTGTTATTGGAAGGCGTCTGACACCAGTATTGTTCAACGGCGTTACTATAGTTCAATCTGCCATTACAAAGACTCTACTACAACGAGCATTACGAAAATGACAACGATTATTCGTTGACATCAAAAAAGCTAGTTTCTGTAACCCTTGTTCTTTCGACAATATCTCTTTCTGGCCTTTGTTTTGTCATCTACCATTCATTCTAATCTCTAATAATCTTCTCTTTGAAAGAATTATGTGCTGCGCGTATATTATAATTATTTGCAAATATATGAAAGAAATCTATTTAGGAAATAAATAAGGTGTAATAAATAACAATTATTTTGCATTAATATATTCTCTTTCGTCAGAAATATTTTGAACTGATCAAGATGTGATTTAATCAAAGAATATTGAAAATATAATGGTTAGAGCACAGGTCAAATGGGAATGTTTTTAGGAGAACGGTAACTATGAAGAAATTGTTATTTACAACTGGAAAAAGATAAATACCGTTTAGTGGCTTAGAATATTGATGCCACTTATAGTTTGGGGCTCCTGTTATATATCTACGGATATTTGCTAAAATAAGCGGGGAATGAGCAATATTATTGGCCTGGATCTGGCACCAGGCACTAGTCTCTTCCGCAAGATGTGTGATTTTTCTCTAAATATTTTCATGTAGATTTTCGCTATGGCAGTTGGATGTACGTTGTAGCACAATAAATATCAATTCGGAATGAGAACTCGTCGAGCCGAGTTCGAATTCCACTTGGGATCGACTCGATATACAAATACTCTTGAGAAAGGTATGAACACATCTCTTCTCCTCCAGCTATGGGTTAAATAGCAGGGCAGATTGTTTTTTGCCTTGTTCACCACAGCAAGAAATGGCAACCTACTGCGTCAAAAATCTTCTGCCTCGTCAGTCATGTATCGAAGCGAGTATCACGTGTAGCACTTAATTGAGTAACTGAACTAGACTTTAAAATTTTAATCGCAGTACTAGACTGACGACTTGGTTTCAGCAATTTATAGTTGAGTTGGTGAGATGTAGCCGTAAGTGCTCTTCCCCCGTCCGTCATGTATAAAAAGTGTGCAGCACTTGAGTGAGTCACTGAGCTAGACATTAAGAATTTAAACGCAGTACTAGACTGACGACTTGGTTTCACCAATTTATGGTTCATTTGGTTGGATGTAACCGTAAGTTCTATGTCGAAAGTTTATTTTCTCGTATTTCTTACTTGAAGAACTTTCTTCAGGGTCCATGCTTTCCAAATGTAATCATCAAAAAGTTAGATGCAGTGTCAATCGCTATCTATTGTTCTCTTACTCATCTTTTCTTCTTGCTCCTTGATAATGTTTTTGTATTTTTACTTCTTTCAAACCTTTTGTATCTGAGTATCTTAACTGCCTTGCTTGGAGAGGACTCGATTAAAAAGCAAAAACAAAACAAACCCCCTAAAAACATATATAAGAGTGAACTATCTAATAATTTAATCCCACTGGTCACAGTAAAGGCAAGAGAATAAGTGGACAAAGGCGGGTAAACTATTTAAAAATTTCTAGCAAATCGATAAAAGAAAGAATACCACAAATCAGTTATTTATGTGCTATGCGTTACACGCTTAGACGATCATGTATCTTTCGATACATGACTGATTAGGCAGATTTTTCCCGCATTACGTTCCATTCCTTTCTGCAGTAGATCAATTGCTATCCAAGGCTATAGAACTCGGTCTGTCTTGCTATTTAGCTATATCTGGGTAGGGGGAGAAGAAGAGGATTCATACCTTTCCCAAGGGTATTAGTACGTACGTAAATGTAATGGGTTCGACTGGAATTCGAACCCGACTCTCCGATTCCTCAATCCGAGCCGCTATCCATTTCTGCATCGTGCCTACCCCATAAATCCGAATTTTAAAACTGACAATGGGTATAGTCAGGGTAACGGTAATATTAGCCGTTTCCTTATAAGGAAACATTTGCCATTCATTGACAGAGCAGCCAGTACTGCTGATGTTTGGAATTTATAAAATCATTCTCTTAAAAGTGTTTTTTTGGAAAAAATAAGTTCTTCAAGTCCATTAGGTGTTATTGATCTTTCCAGTGCTAATGGAGGTTTTCTTCCTAAGTTTTTATTTGAATGAATGGAAATGGTCAACATCATGGTTATGCCTTTATTTTTCTCTTCGTGTTGCATGTGTTATTCATGTTAGTTTAGCTGCTGTTGATAGTCCACTAGTGAAGCGGTTTCTATTAACTTCTAAAAATTTGGTTTGGGATTATATAGCGCCAATCACCAAAGTTCGAAGAATGATTTCTACCCAAATCCCCTGACTTCCCTTCCTATCCATTTTAGTTGTTGCTGCTCTTTGTAGTCCTTAAGAGACGAGGTTTCTGTTATTTTGTAAAGTTCTTTGATTTGTGATATTGTAGCGCCAATCCACAATGATCGAAGAAGAATGGTGTCTGCCAAGATCAAATATGTTCGCTTGAAATCGAATTTAGTTGTCTACTGCTGTTTGTCGTATTCAAGTGATGTTGTTTCTGTTATTTGGTACAGTTCTTTGCTTGTGATTATGTAGCGCCAATCAAGATTGTTCAAAGAAAAATGATCTCTACCAAGATCTCTTCATTTCCTATGCTATCTATTTAATTGTTGCTGCTGTTTGTAGTACTAAAGTGATGTGGTGTCTGTTATTTGATACAGTTCTTTGTGTGTGATCGTGTAGCGCCAATTCATCATGTTCGGAGAAGAATTGTCTCTACCAAGGTCACCTCTCCTCTTGCCCTATATTTTAGTTGTTGCTACTGTTGGAAGCACTCAATTGATGCGGCTTCTATTATTTGGTACAGTTCTTTATTTGTGATTATGTAGCGCCAATCCAAAAGGTTAATATAATTTATAACCGTTGATCTTTAAAAAGCGGTTGTATACAGCTGACAGCTTAGATATTTCTTAACGTGCCTGCCACTATACATTACATCCATATTAAAGTTTCGACCTGATGAAGTTATTTAAGAACATGACCCAAGTTGATATTTTGATTTTAAAGCAAATTTGGTTGATGGGCGAAGCTACACCTTGTTCAGTCTTTGTTGTGTCTTTGCTGTGTTTAATTGCCTCATCTCATACTAAATTTATTATAATATCCATATGCAAAGGTGTCTGAAGTGTTTACTATTTACTAATTTTAAATACTGAATTTTTCAGAGGCTTTCAGTGTATGTGCTATTGTTACTTTAATTCTAATTCAAGATCATGGGCATTACCAAAAGCAACAGCATGAAAGAAAACTATGGAGGACCATATTCACCCATATTCTGAAGATGGCGAGTGAAATCTTACTAAAGTTCCAGCTTCCAACTTTTATATTACAATGTCGTTCCTTATTTTTATTTTCTAGAAATTATTTAAAATTTTTATTATCGGATATTTTCTCAGCACTTTCTTCTACCATATTTCTTTGTTTAAAAAGCACAAACATGGGCATTTAAATGCGACGTTATATTTCACAATTCTGTCTCAACTCAACAACTTTTGATAATTCAATAAAATCGGAAAAGTTAAAAAGCGACAAGAAAACATTAAATGATGAAAAAAACAAAAAAAAAAAACAAAATGGAAAGAAAAAATGTAGAATGATGTAAAGTAAGATTCGTAATGGCATTGATATTTAATAGCTTAAATAAGTTTTTCGAACGAGAGCCAATCGATACGAGATGAATAAAACATTAAATGCAAATTGAATAACGGCGATATGTACATAATACATATGGGAAGCTGCAGACGTGTTACTGGGCGTGCAACAGAATTGCTACGTGGAGCCATTTCGAGGGCCTTTGTGCGCATGCTCAGGTGTGGATAAATTGAAGCAAACGTGTGTGCGTAAGGTAAGGAGGCGAGGAAAACCGCCATTTGTATTTATGTGTCAGTTTTCTATATATATATATATATATATATATATATATATATATATATATATATATATATATATGAAAGATATACATAAATTTGTACATGCACACACACATTTACACATATATGAATTCACGAAAATACAAGTATATGTAAAGTTTCATATACATATATATTTATGTATTTAATAGTCTTGTAGATGTTATATATATATATATATATATATATATAAATATGTTATTTAGAATATTCTATAAATATATATATATATATTTGCACATATATGTATGAATTAAAACACGCACACTTGATAAGCGATATATATATATATATATATATATATGTTTATAGCGTGCGATATATAAATTGTCGTTTATATTACTCAAAAATGAAAATAACACTGTCATCTCATTTTAACAGATATATTTATCAACATTACACATAAATATCTTGAAACATTAGAGGGTACTTGTATACAATAAAATCGTCATTGACTTTAACGACGATCTCTAGACGACTTCGGAATCTCCTGCAACATTACTAAACCTTATCCGTATTTAATTTGGTGAATGGAGGTAGAATACTTGCCTTCAGTTCATCTATAGTGTAACAAGGGAGTTTTATTGGTCTCTCGATCAACTGCGCTCCACATAATATAATCAAGGAGATTGTAGTCCGGGAGTAAGGTAGCCAGATGTAAAGGGGTGATGTGGTCGGAGAAATTGCTTGACAGCCATGGCTGGGTTCTTCTGCCTCTGTGGCATATTGGAGAGTCCTGTTACCAGATATAGGGTCTTCCAGCAGCCAGTGTCTTGTTCCAAATCAGTAGCACCTCCTCAAGGCACTTGATGTAAGTCACCGTGTTGAGTTTAAATCTCCTTGGGAATATGAAAGATATCACATCAGTATATGTCTATATTTCTGAGATGAGGTATTATGTACACTATTTCCATTATTCGGACTATTGTCTTTATCTTTGTCGCCACATTTATCACAATGTTTCGGCCGTTGTACGCTCCGGCTTTCTTCAGGTGGTTGGAATGTCGAATTGACCCCTTTATTCTATCGCCTGTTAATTCCCCTCTGCGAGTTCTCCACTGCCTTAACCGAGTATTGAACTCAAACACATTGGGTGCTGTCACTTTGCCATGTGTCCTCAAGGACACATGGCAATGTGGATCACATGGCAAAGTGGATAAAGGCGTTGGTTAGATCCAGTGATAGGATCCAAAGAGTGTGAGTTCAATACCAGTTTAAATGAAGTGGAGAACTTGCAGAGTGTAATTAACAGGAGATAACTGACATCCATTAAACATGGCACGTAGAACTAGAACAGTCTATCGCAGTGAGCGACATTCCAACCAACTGAAGAAGGCCGGAGCGTATAACGGCCGAAACGTTGTAATAAATATGGCGAAAAAGATGAGGACAATAGTCCGGTTAATGTAAATAGTAGCCATAACGTTGCCATCACAAGTGATCTTTTCAAACACCATGATGTTGAATGGATATATTATTCAGCTCTTTCCAAATCCTCTGCATTGTACTCAGATTGATACACAAGCGCACTGATATGTTCACTTTGGGTGCGAATGCCAAAAAGTACAGTATGCCGTTTCCAAATTTCTGGCGGAGTGAATTACTTCATGGTGCTCTTTTTCTCAAAGATGTTCATCAACTGTCTCTACTATATTCTGAAGTCGCCAAAATCAAAAACACGTAACACGCATGCGCGACGTAAAAATATAAAATGCCAACAATTTATATATATATATATATATATATATATATATATATATATATATATATGTGTGTGTGTGTGTGTTTATGTGTGTGTTTTTGTGTGTGTGTGCACAGAATTTTTTGTGATATTTGTTTGATATTTGTTATTTTTTCTCTTTCTCTTTCTCCTTTTCGCTTTTTTCTTCGTTTTTTTTTTGTTGTTCCACTTCTTTCTGAGGTTCCTCTTCAATTTCGAATTTTCTTTTTTTTCTTTCTTTCTCGTTTTTTCCTACCTTTTCTTCTATCTTCTTCCTTCTCCATTCACAATGGTTTCTCACTAAATTTATTCTTCATTTTTTTCTTTTTCCCTCATTCCTATTTATTCAACTTCCCAGTTTCTTCTTCTTCATCATCTCCTCCTCCATTACTTCATCATCTCCTCCTCCTCCACCACCTTATTCATCTCCTCCTTTTTCTCCTTATTCATCTCCTCCTCTTCCTCCCCATTCTTCTTCTTCTTCTTCTTCTTCTTCTTCTTCTTCTTCTTCTTCTTCTTCTTCTTCTTCATTTAACACTTCTGTTTTTCTTTATTCTCCTTCTCCTTAATCTTCTTTAACGGTATTTCGTCCTTTCTTATTTCCTTCATTTTGTCTTATTCTCTTCACAAATTCCCATTTCCCCCTCCCAATTTTCTCTTCTTCTTCCCTATTGGATTCCACTACTCACACCTACTCAATTTTCTTTCTTTTTTAAATTTTTCTTCTCCTCCTCCTGCTCTTCTTCTTCTTCTTCTTCTTCTTCTTCTTCTTCTTCTTCTTCTTCTTCTTCTTCTTCATTTAACACATCTTTTATTTTCTTTTTTTAATTCTCCTCCGTATTCTTCTTCTTCTTCAAATTCTTTTTTTTTCTTCTTCATTTTTTTCTTTTTCTTCTTCTTCTTCTTCAAATTATTCTTTTTTCTTCTTCTTTTTTCTTTTTCTTTTTCTTCTTCATGTAACACTTCTTTTATTTCCTTTTTCTAATTCTTCTTCTTCTTCTTCTTCTTCTTCTTCTTCTTCTTCTTCAATTAACACTTTGATTTTCTTTTTCTAATTCTCTCCTGTCTTCTTCATCGGTATTTCGTCCATTCTAATTTTCTTCCTTTGTTTTATTCTCTTCGCAACTTCCATATTCCACCTCTCCGTTTTTCTCTTCTTCTTCTTCTTCTTCTTCTTCTTCTTCTTCTTCTTCTTCTTCTTCTTCTTCTTCTTCTTCTTCTTGTTCTTCTTCTTCTTCTTCTTGTTCTTCTTCTTCTTCTTCTTCTTCTTCTTCTTCTTCTTCTTTATTCGATTACAATACTTCCACTGCTACTCAATTTTCTTTCTCTTTTTTATTCTTCCTTTCTTCTTCCTTCTTCTTCATCTCCTCCTCCTCCTTATTCTTCATTTAAAATTTCTTCTTTTTTTTCTTTTTTTTATTCTCCTTCGTCTTCTGAAACGTTATTTCGTCCTTTCTTATTTCCTTCCCTTTGTCTTAATCTCTTCGCAACTTCCCACATTTCACCTCTCTCTTTTTTTCTTCTTCCTTATTGGATTCCTCTACTCACACTTCTACTCAATTTTCTTTCTCTTTCATTCTTCGTCTATATTTCCTTTTCGTCTTTCGTTTGTCTCCGCTTCTTCATATTTCTTCATTTATTCCTTCTTCAATTCCCAAGATTGTTTTACTCTATTAAAATCTTCTACCTCTGTCCCATAAGAGATGCTAAAACGAAAACTATTTGCAATTCTAAAAACAATTTTGGGACATACATAAAATTCTTTTTCTCTTTTTGCCATCAATTTTCTTGTTTAATTTTCAGTTCATTCATTCCTGTTTTTCGTTTATTTTTTTCCCTTTCTCTTCTTTCTGTTAAATTTCTTTTTACTTCTTCAATTTTTCCCATTTGTATTTGTCCATCTCCTTTATTTTTCTAACATTATGCATTCGTCTTTCATTTAACATCGGTGTTTTTTTTTTTCTATTTTATCCAGAATATTTAATTTTTAACCATCTTCTTCGTAATTGGTAGCGTGTGTAAACGTAAGTGCTTAGAATTCATATTCTTGTTCGCGACAACTCGTAAATATTTCAGCGCTCAATTCTGTGGCAAGCGTAACAAGGATATTCTAAATAAATAGTAACATGAGCGTATCCTTAAAATAAATTATTGAAAAACATTTAAGAGAGGTTTGAGAATTTAATTTTATGCGCATTGGCCAAATAAATAAATAAAACGAACGAAAATAAAGACATAATTGCTACAAAATAAACGCATATAAATCGTGTAGCATTTATTTGAGTGCTAGTATATTTATCTATCTATCTATCTATCTATCTATCTATCTGTCATTATGCGGGTATATATTTCTGACTATCTATCTATCTATCTATCTATATGTGTGTGTATATTTCTGTATTTCCGTCTGTCTATCTATGTCGAAGTCTAGCTATCTATCTATCTATCTATCTATCTATCTATCTATCTATCTATATATATATATATATATATATATCTCAAACTTTTATCTATCTAAATATATATTTACATACATATGTATGCATATAAGTATGCATCCATTTCTGTTTCTATATATCTCAACTTTCTTTCTATCTATCTATCTATCTATCTATCTATCTATCTATCTATCTATCTATCTATCTATGTCTTCATATCTAGCGATGAATGCTAACGTTTTATCAAAGAGAGCGGATGTATTTTGCTTTTGAGACAAAATTAATTGTTCACTCGCCAGAACTTTACAATCACCTGAAGAGACACATTGTTATGCATTGAAACACGACTGCCATTGTGTACCGATTTTTACATATTTTGTTGTAATATCCTAATATATATATATATATATATATATATATATATATATATATATATGTATATATATAGTGTGTGTGTGTGTGTGTGCATTTCAGCAGCATTTTTCATTGATACATGTTTCATTAAATAATATAGACAAGTGTTGTCTATTTATTTTATGTAAATTGTTTCATATCGTCTGATAAGCTTAATAACATTATCATTAAACGAACACCTTAAGACTATATTTCTTCATATATATATATATATATATATATATATATATATATATATATATATATATATGTATATATCTGTATATGTATATATATGCATATATATATATGTATATATATATGTGTATGTATATATATATACATATATGTATATATGTATATGTATATATATGTATATGTATATATATACACACATATATATATATATATATATAAAGACACACACACACACATATATATATATATTTGTGTTTGTGTGTGTGTGTGTGTGTGTGTGTGTGTGTGTGTCGTTGCCACGTGTCTTCATCTCTGATTAGATGTTGCCTGACAGGAAATGTCCTTTAACACCGAACTGTTTATGCTATTTTGGTATTCGCATATAGAACCATAGATCTCTCGCTTCAAGTGGTGTCTTCATCTACGAGTAGATGTTTCACCAATTACTGCCTGACAAGAAATGGCGTTTTACGCTAGACTGTGTATGGTGTTCTTGGCATTCACCTATAGAAGCAGATATCTCTGGCTTTATCTTTTGTCGTTAGTCTCTCTATATTATTCTTAGCATTCGCCTGTAGAACCATATATCTATCTCTTCAAGTCATGTCTTCACCCACGAGGAGATGATTCATCATTCACTACCTTACAGGAAATGGCGTTCCTCACCTGACTATTGGTTTTAGGGTCATATATCTATCAATTCAAGTCTTGTCTTCACCTATTAGAAGTTTTTTTTTTGTCAGCATTCACTGCTTTACAGGACATGGCGTTTCACACCTGACAATCTGTGGCATTTTTGGATTTCGTCTGTAGAATAATGTCTCTCGTTTTAAGTCTTGTCTTGGACTATGAGGTGATCATTAAACATGCACTGCATTCGACGATTGTCTATAGTGTTCTTGGCATTCATCTATAGGACCATATTATAGCTCACTTCAAGTCCTTCGTTTTAATAGAAACTAGTTGAGAATTCACAGTCGTACGTTAGTTGCTGTTACTGATATGCCTATGCTGGCCTTATCATTGACATATGTTTAGAGCTTTTTCAACATTCACAACCACTGGTTATAAATTACACACCTGTTCGTTATTCATTAATTTGTTTATAACAAAGAATTCTGTTATGATTAACATCGCAGTGTTCTCTACAAACGAAAACATCCGCTGTAGCTCACATAATACTGAGGTGGAAGGGAATTAATTTGGTGGGGGAAAAAGAAAAAAAAAGATTTGTTTCTGAAACATATTAAACATTAACGGACTTTAGAAGAGACATGATTGTTTTTTTCTGCTGTATAACTTTTTGTGGTTTCTTCACGTCTTTTCCTGTTTCATCGTTGTCTATTCGTTTTTTTTTATCTGTTAGACACGGGTAAATTCCACGCCTTTCGATAACTTATGTTACTCATTAGTTTGCGTTTCTATATTCAAGCTTTGGCCATGTGTTTACATTCTTTAGTGTCTTCTTAGAAAGCTTCATTTTCTGTCCATGTTTTTTTTCCCTAAATGTTTTACAAATATAGAAGTATATCCAAATAAGAATTAATAATAAGTAGCAAGCTCGTTTTTCTTAATTTTGCACTATCTCTTCATAAATAATTTAAATATATCGCAATTTTTACACTGTTTACTTCTAACGACTTCATTTTTTTTTCATCGTCTCTTGATATCAACACAGTAAACATGTCTCTCCATATAGTTCTTTGTGTCAATCCCTTCGGTTTTCTCTCTATATATATATATATATATATATATATATATATATATATATATATATATATATATATATATATATATATATATAAAAAGGCTTAAATACTAATATTAGTATTTAAGCCTTATTATTATATCCTTAATCTGTTCCGGACATTGAGTTCTACCTGGATTCTATCCTCTTGGATTTATTTGTTGTACAAATATATATGTACGTGTATGTATGTAAGTATATATTTATATATATATTTTAGATATATGATTGCATATGTATGTGTATATTTACCACTAATGTTATATATATATATATATATATATATATATATATATATATATATATATATATAAAAGAAGGAACAGTAAGATATATATAATCCGGTGTTCTTATAGATATTTTTATTTTTACAAAATAGTGCTCAGTGTAAATTTACAGAGCATTAATATTATAAATTAATTGATTTTAAAATATGTTTTTTTTCGCTACACAGTTCAAACCATGTTTCAAAAATGGAATATAATTTTGTAATTAATTTAAAGACATTAGTTCCATTTCATCCTCAAGCGAATTGTAATATAGTATATTAAAAAGTAAAATTTAAAAGTAAAAATATTTCAAATCGTTGTTAAATAAAAATATTCTAACCTAAACACCCACCAAAAATCTTTAAATATACAAATGGGAAAAAATGGCGTAAGAATTTTTGCCGTTAACAATAAAATTTTTAAAAAATCCAGACGACATGCTTTTAACGGATGTTAGATTTCATTGAAAAATACATCCCTACCCACTACCAAAATGTAGCAATAACTGATACATTAAAATATAG